CATGCCCAATATTACTCAATATGTCCATTGAGATGCCTATATACCCGGATACATATTCTTAAAACATAATAGAACCTTCACTAAACAAGTACATTTTCTGGAATGTACATTATCCCCCCTTAGGAACATTAATCCGCGAATAACACTACACATCATTTTTAATCAGCGAGGGTATTTTTGAAAAAACACATCAACATTCTTAAAACTTTGCTTTTTGTGAATATCTGATTCACAACTTACTCTGGATGATGCACATCACTCAAAGGTTATCTGAAGCTTCATATATGAGATTGAGGAACTTCCTTCTCAATCTCACTTTAACTCAATGCATATCACAACTCATGCGACACAAAAATCATGTCAACGCTATGCAAAAACAGCAACATGAATGCAAGCATGAACTCATATTAACTCATATAGTACAAGTATAAAACACACAATTATGGACTTAAAACACCAAAACCGACTAATGCACAAAAATCAAGAGTTTCAAAAACAGAATCATACTTAGGAAAAGTATATATAACCTCAAGAAGTAAACAAGTGTGGGTAACGGGATATCATGTCTGCCTGAGCTTCCCCTGTTGCTCCCTTAACGAGGTGGTTCATCAATAACACCTTTACAGTTTCAACCTCCTTGATCCTCAGCTACATCACTTTGCGATCTAAAATTTCAACTGGAACCTCTTTATAAGAAAGTTTCTCGTTGACTCCTAACCCCTCAACAGGCAAGATGGATGATGGATCACCTAGACACTTTTTACGCATTGAAACATGATACACTAGATGAACATAAGCCAAGTCATTTGGTAACTTCAATTTAGAGGAAACATTCCCGACGTATTGTAAGATCTCATAAGGACCTATATACCTCAGACTCAACTTTCCTTTGTTGCCAAACATTATAACCCCTTTCATGGGTGAAATTTTCTGGTAGACTTGATCACCTACCTCGAACTCAAGAGCCCTCTTCCTGTTATCAACATAGGATTTTTGACGACTATAAGAAGTAGCCAATCTACCCATAATCATTCACACCTTTTCCATAGCTTCATGTACGATCTCAGGTCCAAGGGTAGAAGACTCTCCTACCTCAAGCCATACAACTCGAGACCTGCATCTCCTTCCATACAGTGCTTCAAAAGGTGCCATTCCAATATTGGAATGGTAGCTATTTTTATAAAAGAACTCAATCATTTGCAAGTGATCATCCCAACTCCCCTTCAAGTCAATAACACATGCTCTAAGCATGTCTTCAAGGGTCTGAATGGTACTTTCTGCTTGTCCACCCGTGTGGAATGAAAAGTATCAATAAGCTTCACTTGTGTTCCCAAGCTCTTTGGAACGATCTCCAGAAGTGAGAAGTGACTTGGGCTCCCTTATCCGGAATGATAGATAAAAGGATCCCATGACACCTCATTCTCTCATTACTATACAGCTTGGCAGAATCTTCGCCCCTGTATGTAGACTTCACAGGATTGTAGTGAGTAGACTTAGTAATCCTGTTAACACTGACCTAAATGGAATTATGAAGTTTCCTTGTCCTAGGAAGACCAACCACAATGTTCATATTAATTGCTTCCTACTTCCATGTTGTGATCTTAATCGACTAGGTAAAACCTCCAGGCTTAAGATGTTCACCTTAACCTGTTGGCAATTGGGGCACTCCTTTACAAGATCAGAAGTATCTCGCTTCATACCTTCCCACCAATAGATTTCCTTGATATCATGATACATCTTTGTGAAACCTGGATGAATGGAATATCTGGAGCCATGAGCCTCTACAATAATTGTAGGTCTCAGATTATCAATATGCCCTGGTATCTAAGCACACCATCCCCCCTAGGGAGAATAATTCATTCAGCTTACTCAACAAAGAGTCTTTCAACTCCACGAGTACTGTGTCGAGATGTATCCTATCTTTAACATATACAACAAATGAGGATTCAAAACTGGAATGAACTGAAAACCCCCCACTTGGTGTATCTACAAGCCGCACACCTAACATAGCTAATTGGTGTACCTCTTTAACTTGCTCCTTCTTTTAATCATCAATATGAGACACATTTCCCACACTCAATCAGCTCAAAACATCGTCCATTACGTTGTCTTTACATGGGTGATATTGGACACTCATGTCATAATCCTTAAGTAGTTCTAGCCATCTTCTTTGACGAAGATTCAATTCTCTCTATGTAAAAACATACTGAAGACTATTATGGTCAGTAAATACATCAACATATACACTATATAAGTACTGTTTCAAAAGTTTTAACGCAAATACCACAATAACTAAGTGAAGATCATGGGTAGGGTAATTCTTCTCGTGGATTTTCAACTGTCTTGATGCATATGCAATCACCTTGCCATCCTACATCAGATCACATCCTAAACCTACTCGAGAAGCATCACAGTACACCACATACCCTTTACCACTCCTCGACATTGTGAGAACTAGGGCTGAAGTGAGTCGATCTTTGAGCTCTTTGAAGCTCTTTTTACAAGTTTCAGACCACTCAAACTTTGCCTTATTCTTTGTTAAAGCTGTCAGTAGAGCCTCAATAAAAGAAAAACCCTTAACAAACTGGCGATAGTAATTAGCCTAACCCAAGTAACTCTAGATGTATATAGGAGTGAGGGGTCTCGACCAGTTCTTTATGAACTCAATCATTTTTGCATCAACCTCTACACCCCGATCGAACATAACATGACAAAGGAAGGTCACTGATCTCAGCCAAAACTCATATTTGCTGAATTTTGCATAGAAATGATGTTCCCTAAGTACTTGCAATGTTATTCTCAAATGTTTTTCATGCTCTTCTCTAGTCTTAGAGTGTATGAGGATTTCATATATGAATACTATGACGAAAGAATCAATGTATTCATGAAAGACCCTATTCATAAGGTCCATAAACGCGGCTGGTGTGTTAGTGAGACCAAATGACCTGACAAGGAACTCGTAATTGACCATACCTAGTATGGAAGGTAGTCTTAGGAATGTCCTCTTGTGTCACTCTAAGCTGGTGATTCCATGACCGGAGATCTATTTTAGAAAAGAAACTTGAACCTTGGAGCTGATAAAATAGATTATAAATTTTGGGAAGAGGGTGTTTGTTCTTTATAGTGACTTTATTGAGTTTCGGATAATCGATACACATTCTAAGGGTTCCATCCTCTTTCCTAACGAACAACACTAGAGCACCCTTGGGGATATGCTCGGCTGGATCAAGCCCTTATCAAGTAGATCTTTTAACTGCAACCTCAACTCTTTCAGTTCAACTGGAGAAATTCTATTAGGAGGAATGGAAATTTGTTTAGTGTTGGGATCTAAGTCAACACCAAAGTCAATTTCGCGTTCAGAAGGGGTTCCTGGTAAATCCTCTTGAAAAACATCTTGAAAGTCAGTCACCATGGAAACAGAGTCTATTGAAGGAACTTTATGTTCTAAGTCATTGACTCTTACTAAGTTGTATAAATACCCCTTAGATAATGTCTTATTGGCTTTGAGATGGGTAACTAATTAGCTTGTTGGATTTGAATTATGCCCTTCCCATTCAAGCTCTGACTTATTCAGAGACTGAAACCTTACTACCCTGTTTCAACAATCTATGGCAGCATACCATTTATGGAGCCAATCCATACCAAAAACTATATCAAAGTCAAGCATGATTAATTCTATTAGGTCAGCATAGGTAAATCTATCAAGAACAGTTATTGGGCTATCTCTATATACTCTTTCAGCTCTAATGTTGTCTCCTATGGGAGTACTCACCAGAAAATGTTCATGCAAGATCTCAGAAAGCAAGTCAAATTTACTAGCTACTAAAGGAGTAACAAAAGACAAAATGGATACTGGATCTAACCATGCATACACAGGAAAAGAAAGGACATGCAAGGTAACAATGACCACATCAGTTGACTTTTCCTGCTCCTCTCTACCTTTCAAAGAATAAAACCTATTCCTCTTGAGAGGCTCGGCTGCAGCAGTAGGATTAGGCCGAGGCAGAGTATCTTCCTTGACCTAATTCTTCACATGTGGGCAGTCCTTGATCATATGCCCACTCTTGTCACACCCATAGCGAGCATTAGAACCTACCATGTACTCACCTCAATGCAAACGGCCACACTTACTACACGAATTTATATCATGCTAGGCATCTCTATCATTGCCCTTCTTGGGGTCAGACTTGTCGCCTTTGTCATTAGTGTTCCTTGAAAGAGTATTAGCAACTTAGTGCTGGTTCCCCTTCTTGAACTTGGGATTGCCTTGGAATGCAAATTAAGTCCTACCAGTGCTAGAACCAGCCTGATCCGAGGGCCTAGGCTTCTTTGCATCTCACTCTCTCTTCCTCAAATGACTCTCCTCCACCTATTGTTCATGTACCATCAACATTTCAAGGTCCATGTTATCATGCAATATGGATGCCCAACATTACTCCTCTAGATCGTCCAATACACAAGTCAAAAACCTGCTCAGCTCATCCCTGCTACTGGACACCAGGGAAGAAGCAAATTTGGAAAGTTTAACAAATTTCAAGTAGTATTCCTTGACAGAAATATCTCCCTGGCGTATGTTTATGAACTCCTCAACCTTATCCTCTCTCTGCTCTCTGTGAAAGAACCTCTCCATGAATGCAGTCTTAAGAATGTCCCAAGTGATGGGGACTTCTCCTAGTGCTCGGCTATCTACCCACATCTTGTACCATACCTGAGCCACATCCTTGAGCATGTATACATTCAACTCAACCTTCTCCTCTTCATTAACACCAATTGCACAGATAATCTTACTAACCTCGTCCACAAACTTTTGGGGATACTCATTGGTTTTGGACCCGAAGTACACTGGAGAATTCATCCTGGTGAAATCTTTCAGTCTGCTAGCCATTGTGCTAGCATGTGGGTTCTCCCTTGGAGAAGCCTCTCTAGTGGCCTGGGCTGTGATAGCATGTGCTTGAGCAGTGATGGATTGGGACATCTGAACCAATGCTGGTTTCACTTCTTCATTTGTCAACACAGCTGTTGATAGGAACTTGGACTCCAGCAACTGGAGCTTGAGGAGGAGCTTGGTTTACCCAAGCAGCTGCTTCTCCAACTCCTCCTGCCTGGATTTCTTCTTGTGTTCATTTTTCAATGCGCACACACAAGAAGGAAGTTAGATACTACAATGACACAAAATTCAAAACTCAACACAACACGATAAAGAGTAAAGAAGGGAAGATTCTTAACATTACTAAGTCTCTAAATCATGGTTTTGGTGCACTTCACAACCATAAGCTAGAAACTATGCAACATGGTTATTTTGAGCCCTAGTTCATAGTTAATTTAACCTCATGCTATGATATTAAGTTTGTCACACCCGGATCATAGACATTAGATGATACCAGCGTCCTTAACCTCTCATAGGACGCAGACAAGCCTCCATTTAGCTTTAATCACAATCAGACATTTAAATTTAGCGGAAAATTTAAAACTTTTTAACTTTACTAAAGTGTACTTAGACTTCATATAATTTCTGCATAAGAGTGATATACTTACAGCTCAAAATAAGCCACCATCTATTAACAGATTGAACAATTAAGATGGAGAATTCATAATATAATTAATAGTTTCTGAACTGACCTTAATACAAAAGCTTGAACAAATATTTGAAAGGAAATTCTAGGGACAACATGCACTTGATATGTCTAATCTACTAAAGCTAAAATACAAAGCCTAGGTTTCCTCGAACTCAAGAGGACCTACAAAAGTTTGGAGGTACTAGTCCATACTGCTTCAGCTGATCTTCAAACTTATTCAAGGATCTGCACCTACAAAAGTAGTAGGTTTATATAGGTTAGTACACACTTGTAATAATAATGGGTGTATGCACATAAACGCATAAGGACTATGCATGATCAAGGAAAGTTCTTCCCATAGCAACATGCCATTTTTCAAATGGCTTATCCACATTTGAACTCATTGTTTCTTTATTAATTAATTACTTTCTTAAAGAAAACATTAGCATTAACTGAGATAGATTATGTGAGGTAACATGAAATCCAGTGTCTTCACCACAGTAAAAAGAGGTGGTTCACTGGCCAAAGAGAAACTGAATACTTTCTAGCTTTCATAAGTGGATCCACTAGATAGTAACCTATGCTGGAGACATAGTTCAAAGACTTGGAGTATTGGAGACCCTTATAAACCTTGGTGTGTAGTCTCATCTCATGAGGCTAACATGTGCTTTCACAAGCTCATTACTAGTCTATTGGTGCTTATCTAAATTTATCATACTTTAAAACTTTTAGAGTTGAATCATACATTATGGAAGCTTACTTATAGTATGAGGTATTCTAAGCTCAATTGACGACTTTTGATCCCTTTCTATATTTGATGAATGTGAACTTAAACCATAAATTATCATTATGGTGTGAATGAGACTTGTCTCACGATTTCTAAAACCCTCTTATTTGAGTATCTTTGATATAATTGTTTATGTTCAAGTGAGACTTGTCTCACTTCCTTTAACACCCCCATTCTAGGTCAAATTCATAATTCATAAACTTTTAGTTATTTCATTACTAACCTTATCTTGTTCAATGCTATTTGGCAGTCTTGTAACATTCTTTATGAAAGTTATAAGGACTTATTCAATGTGCTACTATGTTCAAAAGTTCATTTAGATAGGGTATATTGGGACTTTCACCAATCATTGGCATACCCTAGGTTATGAGTTATTGGAATTACATTTTGTCAAGTCAATATAAAAACATGTATTTGGCCCTAGAAAAAAAATAATAATTTACATTGGCCATGTAAGATTGGTATAACTTAGTCATTAGCCAATTCTATATCATATTTTGGAAATAATATTATTGGCCAATTTATTGCCATAACCCAAACTTTTACTAAACACTTGTAATAATATTATCACTATCCAAGTCAATAAACTTCATGTATATACTATAGTAATCTCATTATTTTAAGCAAGCTCACTTTTAACATTTTCATCTTCTAAAACACAATTTGGCATTACAATATTTCATATCTCATGTAAGTGATACTCTAATAATACAGATATAAGCTATAGGTCTCATTCGACATTATCAAAATCAAAGAACCAACACATTATAATAAGTTAGCACCATATACCAATAACATAGTCGATATTTGCATTATACACATTACTAGAATCGAAAATAGGGAGATGAACATTCGACAATTTCATTGGGAACAACCCTAGTTTCGGTTTTTCTTGAGTTCAAAAAGTTTTGAAAAGCCTCCTGGCAAAGGAATTCGAGAAAGAAAACCCATACCTTATTGTAGAATCGAATCTACAAAGATCACCCTGTACTTTGCACGAAAATCTTAAAGAATTGCCTTGAAATCACCTAAGGAGAATTAAGAGTAATTTTTCTATTTTTCTCACGTTTGTTTACTGTTTTCTTTTTCACTCGAGGGTTTCTATGGATAAAAGTGAGTCTATGTCTTATGAAATGAATATTTACTAATTCAACTTAAGCTAATTAAGGTCTTCATTGCAGGTACAATTCCTAAAAAAGCTTGGATTGGAGAATTTGAACATCAAAGTATATCTTAAGTTACTTGTTAATTCATAGAAATCGTCTAACACCCTTAAGCAAATATTCTCTAACATTCCCAATATTACTCAATATTGGGCATTGGACAAGTACATTTTCTGGAATGTACCCCAATACATATTCTTAAAACCTAATAGACTCTTCACTAGACAAGTACATTTTCTGGACTGTTACATAGGAGCGCCATCATAAGTGGACCATGCCAGTCACAACATAATTGAATTCTACTGAAAAATAAAATAAATAGAATTAGGGAAGCGTACCACCAATCCATTCTCAACACTTCAATCCAATGTTAAATTATCCAATTCAATACCATAAGGAGCTTACCCATGGACATGAATATCAATTCAATATAAAAAGTATGATACTCAATGAGATTAGGTCAATTCAATAAATATTCATCAATCTAAGACAACCTAGATATAAATTAAATATAATTGTTACATCAATCAATAGACCACAAGAAACTATACAAAAATTCATAAGCATTAAGTCCAAATCACTTAACCCATAAAGTAGTCAGAAACTAGGGTTCATCAATTATATAGGTTCATAGGATAACTTATTAAAATCATCTTATTTAAAATAATTCAATCAATATTCAATGCTTCAAATCCTTTAATGCAAGAACCCATGGATGGATCATAAAATTGGACAATTCATCTTTGAAAACTTTAGAAAACTTCTTTCAATTTGAGATCCTTCATGAATAGAGTTTCTAGGATCAAAAACCATACCTCAATAAATAAAATGCTCTAATTTTATGAATAATCTCAACTCAAGTCTCCAATCCAAGCCCTTCCTTGAGTTTTTGCTCCAATGGAGTTCTAGAGAATTTCCAAGGGATTATGGGTTTTGATTTTGTAGAATGAAATCTTTTAAGTGTTAAAGGAATATAAAAATGTTTTTAATACCCAAATGACCCTAAGTAAATGCCCTTTATCTTATTTGGACGAGGGGTGAATTTACAACTTCACCCCTAACTTATAAGTGAACTGCGTAAGGAGGCGGTCCTCACAGACAGATGGCCATCGATGACCCGTCTCTTAACCAACGGACCGTATTGTTGGTCCATGGTATTGCAATGAGGATTGTATTTGGATTGGAATTTCTCATTCCTATGATTCCACCTACGCCCCCTAAACTATTGAGCCATTGGGTGTCGATTTGGTTTTTGACAGCTTGAGAAGTCTTGAAGGGTCCTTTCCTCAAGGACCTTTAGATCGTCCTTGGGGATGTTTGCCCAAACGTTTCAAACTCAAATATGTTAATATATGAGTTTAGGACCTCTCATATGAATGTCATCAGAAATAAACATGTAAAACTTGACGAGACATGCATAGACACACAAGGTCGTTTGAAGGCAAACCTTCCAAATATCATGGAGGTTCTTGGACGTTCGCCTCCAAACATCATGAAACATGACACACAGACTATAAACACTATATTAACTCATATAATGACTTCATTATCTCATGAAACACAGATAGTCACATAGTTGACTTAGTCATTGAACTTCTTGGTCATCCCTCAATGTTACACTTTTAAATCACCTAAAACTCTAGACACTGCCTCAATAGCACATTATAGACCATTTTATAACTTTATACCATCATGAAAAAAGGTTAGACTCTAGATTAACCTAAGTCATTTTAGAGGTATTACAATTTCATAAAGGCAAATATACATATAACATGAATAAGTGCAAGTAAAGCGAAACAAACCTTTCTCATGAAAACTCATTTTTAACATGAACCTTACCAATAGTATGCACATAGTAGAAAAGAAAATTAAATTGAAATTATTCATTCTTTTATTTTAAGAGGATTACTAACCTGAACATGTGTTGGAATGTTGAGGAAAAAGATGAGGATAGTGGAACTTCATAACGGCCTAGGCCTCCCATGTTGCTCCCTCGATTGGGTGGTTTCTCCATAGGAATTTTACGAAGATGACCTCTTTGTTCCTCAACTTCTTGACTTGGCAATCTAGAATTTTAACCGGAACCTCTTCATAAGAATGGTTTATTCACACCTAACCTTTCAATCAGAAGAATAAATACGGGGTCGCCAATAAACATTTTTAAGCATAGAGACATGAAATACGGTATAAACCAGGGCTAGTTAACTTGGTAACTTTAACTCATAAGAAACTACAAAACCTGTTTCACTATCTTATAAGGACCCACATACGGGGGACTAAACTTTATTTTCCTACCACATCCCATCACCCTTTCATGGGTTAAATTTTTAAGTATATCATATAACTCACTTCAAATTCAAGGTCTCTTATAGTATTGTCTGCATACCACTTTTGCTGACTATAAATTGTTTTCAACCTATCCCTTATCATGAACCTTCTTGAAAGATTCATAGATTATCTCGGGACTAACAAGTAAAGAATATCCTACCTCAAACCACCCAACTAGAGACATACATCTCCTATTATAGAATGCTTCAAATGGTTCAATGGAAATACTCAAATCGTAGCTATTATTATAGGAGAACTCAATCAA